GCCAGCCGGAGTATTACAAAAAGTGAAAAGAATTATCCAGCACATAAACTTGAATTCCTAACTTTGAAATGGGCAGTCACACAAAAATTTCAAGATTATCTTTATGGCAACAAATTCACTGTTAAACAGACAATAATCCACTTACATATGTTCTTTCTTCCGCAAAACTTGATGCTACAGGTCATAGATGGTTGGCTGATCTTTCTGCATTTGATTTTTCTTTAGAATACTTACCTGGATCTCGTAATGTTGCAGCAGACGCTTTATCAAGACTTCTCGTTTCATGTGTAGATAATTCTGTTGTATCTGCAATAACTAATTTCACCGACGTTGAGCACAGTAAAGTTGAAACTTTTTCTTTTAATCAGGATGTAATTGATTGTTTTATGTCTCCTATCATTGCAATTCCTGTTGAATACACAAATTTAATTGACAATTCTAAGATTCGAAAAGCTCAGCAAGACTGTTTAGGAATACGTAATATCATTCATTTTGTCAAAACTAGTTGTTATTATTATTATACATACATTTCTATAGCGCTACTTCCACAATCGTGTTCAGAAGCGCTTTACAATATGATACACACAAAGATGAGATAGAATTCAAAAATTAGAAATAACAAAAGTTAAAATCTGTTAAATATAAAATAAATTTGAACAAAATATAGAAATGACAAAAGTTAAAAATCGGTTAAATATAAAATACATTTCATCTAAAATATATATAACAACAGACAGGATCAGTAACTAGTTAAAAGCTTTCTTAAACAAAATAGTTTTAAGTTGACTCTTAAAAACGGGTAAAGACACACTGCTGCGAATAATATAAGGAAGTTTATTCCACAGTTTAGGTGAGGCAACTGAAAAGGCTTTATCACCAAAAGACACAAGATTTGCTTTTTTTCTCAACAAGGAGGTGACAATCTTCAGAAGATCTTAATTGACGACTAGGTTTTATAAGTATATAAGATCTGATAAATAGGAAGGGATCAAATTATTTAAACACTTATAGGTTAAAAGTAAAATCAAAATTATTTAAACACTTATAGGTTAAAAGTAAAATCAAAAATGACGCCAATATTTCTGGCTGATTTAGAAGGAGTTATATAATTATGACCAACTTGCACAGGAGTATCACTTAATTTATTTAAATTTGTGTTAGATCCAATAATTAAATACTCGGTTTTATCATCATTGAGCTTTAAAAAGTTGTTGGACTTCCACATTTTAATACCTGATATACAAATTTGCATATTGAGTTTAGAAATGTCAAAATAACTTTGAGACGGTTTAAAAGATATGTAAATGAAATGTGGTTCTATGGCACGTCAGCTCCAACCGGGCTATATTGCGCCAAACATATGGTGAATATTACGAGACAGGCTAAATTATATCACAGAAAAACATTATATGCATTATTATTTATTGCCTGTAAAGAGGACAAAGAATCAGTAAATATAATGTGTTTTAAAGATGAAGAGGATTTAATGAACTCCAAAGCCTGAAAGATGGCCTGGAGTTCATCTGTAAATATGGAAGCAGCAGGAGGAAGACGAAAATAAATGGTTTCAGATGGCGTGACAGTAGCCGAAGCTACCCGATCACCATCTTTGGAACCATCTGTATATATTGGAGTATAATCACCATATTTAGACCTTAACTCTCTGAAGAGAGACTGAAACACTGCGGGACTAGTATCTTTCTTTTTATTTTTTGTAAGATCGAGATTAATCTTGGGAAGAGATATAGACCACGGTGGTGTCTCAAAGAAAGGGGTATTCGCAATACTGTCTTGACTGATACCAGCCTGAGACAAAAGAGGTTGAATGCGAATACCGAATGATGGAATAACATTAGTCTTCAGTAAATATAGATGTTCATGATAGGATCTAAATATGGTGTTAAATGAAATATGATGAGGCAGAGATGCAATACTGCATACTGCAGTGCAAGTTTATCACGTCTGTCGTGCAATGAGGGCTCGTGCGCCTCGACGTATAAACTCTGCACTGGAGATGTTCGGAATGCTCCTAAACTGATTCTAAGTCCTTGGTTGTGTATGGTGTCAAGCTCTTTGAGATAAGACTCGCGGGCAGACCCATACACAATACACCCATAATCGAGTTTAGATCTTATCAGTGCTCGATATAATCTGAGCAAGACCTTACGGTCTGCTCCCCAGTCAATGTTTGATAAGACTCTCAATATATTGAGGGCTTTCAGACATTTCTTCTTCAGGGTTTTAATATGAGGGATAATTGATAATTTCTTATCAAATATCAAACCCAAGAATTTCTTTTTTATCTACAACTGGAATGGGACTACCATTCAGCGTAAGCTCCGGATCAGGATGTAAACCTCTTCTTTGACAGAAGTGCATGCACACAGTCTTGGATTTCGAAAACAATCGAAATCCATTGTCAGTTGCCCATCGTTGAATAGAATTCAAGCAAAGCTGCAACTGTCGTTCGATTGTCTGCATACTTGTCGATCCATAACCCATCTGAAAGTCATCAACATAAAGAGAGCCGTCGACCCCACGTTTAAGGCACGCCGGTATTGTATTTATTTTGATTGCAAAAAGTGTGGGAGATAATATGCTTCCCTCGGGAACTCCCATCTCCTGGGGAAATGGGTCAGAGAATATTGATCCCAAACGTACCTTAAACGACCTATCTTCTAAGAAGTTTTTAATGAAGATAGGTAAAAATATAGCAACTAAATGTTGTTTCTGGATGAAAGCATCCCTGACAAACGTTTCAAATCTAACGAGATGATCAAGAGTGCTCCTTTGGGACCGAAATCCACATTGGAGATATGTAATGAGGTTGTTGGACTCAAGGTACCAAACAAGCCTTCGATTGATCAATCTCTCCATGGTTTTGCAAATGCGATCGGGCGATAATTGGTAGGATTCGTAGGATCTTTACCAGGTTTAGGGATGGGAATTATGGTGGCTTCATGCCACGAAGGGGAGAAAATCCCATCAACCCAAACCTGATTGTAAAGATCTAATAATATTAAGAGTGTAGAAAAAGGTAAATGTTTTAGAATTTGATAGTGTATTTCATCTGGACCAATTGCAGTATCTCGAGCTCGCTTTAGCGAATCCCGAAGTTCTGTAATAGAAAACTTGTCATTATAACATTCATCATTACGGGACTTGAAGTTAAGTCGCCTTTTCTCCTGTTGATGTTTAATGGCCCGAAAGTCACCCGAGGAGAAATTGAATGATGAATTGAATGAGAAAGTACTGGTCAGAGAATTAGCAATATCAGGAAATGTTGTTAGGGTGGTATTATCAACATTTAGATGGTTAACTGATAATGCACTACTTTTACCTTTAATCCTACGAATCCTATCCCATACCGATTTGGAAGTGGTACACTGAAAAAAAACTTGTGTTGGATCTCAACACAAGTACTTGTGTGAAAATTATTCTACACAAGTTATGTGTTGTTTTGCATTGCATTAACACAAACTTGTGTTCTTTTTAATGCATTAACACAAATCTTGTGTTTTTTCCATATAATTAACACAAGTAATGTGTACCGTCAACAAATATTTTTTTTTTTTAAATTTGAACTCCATACAAAGTCTTAATCCGGGGGTCCACAAGTAAGAGAAAAGTATTTTTTACTCAGACAATATAGCCAGACAGACTTGAATGCTAATTGGTGTTAAGATGTCTGTAGTTAAAATAAAGTTGGGCCCAATAAACTGGTAGATCAAAGGCCTGTTGAGCGCTCATGCCCGGTGTGATTTTAACAATTGACTCCAAATGCGTTGACAAGAAAATAAGTAAAACTATTATTGAATGTGATTGGTTGATAAAATCAACGTACTATAGGCTACATTTTGTCTGCGATATCATCTCGGTGGAAGCGGACATTAAATGAAGTGATTTCACACAATTAATTTAACATTTAACAACGTGCTGAAATGATTTTAGAGCAGTGATATGTTTGACAAATGTAAGCTAATGGTCACATAGAATACAAGACCGCAGGTTTGTGTATATTTATATAAAGAAAATAATACCATGTATGTAATTTAGCATCGATATTGTTTCTCTGTATAATATTAGTATTTCGTTTCCTTAAAAAAACCTCCAACAATTTAAACCGGAAGTTCATGTTTATAATATGGCGCGGTCAGGAAAAAAATTTCGGCATGTTATTATCAAATCTGTTCAATTTTTCTGAAATCATGCTTAATTAACATTAGTTGTTCGGCGCTACGATGTTGTTCAAATACTTACATTACAGAATCACATTATGATTAAAGCAGAAACGGCTCGACTTGAACCAGCAGGTAAGAATCTGTTTTGAAATTATATCTTGGGAGGTTGGATTGGCGTTGGAGACCCGATTGGCGGCCATTTTGATTCTTGTTTCATGATTTTTTATATTATAACGATTTTGCCAAGAGTAGACATAAACGCGGGCACAGACTAGAAATTTTTTTTTTTACACTTTTGTGTTAGTTGAATTGTAATCTAATTTATGTTTAAAAAAAAACAACCTAATAAGCAGATATTTCCCCACACCCTCCGTTGTTCAACCTCTGTGAGTCTGTGTAATATTTAATATTAGGCCTCATTTTTGCCTGATTCAGTCACAGTTAATAAATAATAGAACTAGAATCAGCCTGTGGAAGTTTCTCTATAGTTTTATTATTTTTTCCAGTCAGTGATGATATGTGACTTTTTCCACCTTCCAGCAATAATTATTGAGAACCTACCAAGGACTCCATTGGCATTGAATCGAAGAAAAACAGGTAAAAATTTCAATTAATTTTTATATTTTCTTTTTTTTTTTTACCAATGTCCTACAATGATTAGTGTATGTGAACATACAATCCAAAATAAAGTATTTATATGGCACTTACATGCAACAGAGAGAGAGAGAGAGAGAGAAATGACATCCTTACATACATGTACTTGTATTTGAAGAATCAAGTAGTCCATGCTGTGTCTATATGCATACCGGTAATCAACTACGACGAGGATTAGCCTACTTCCGTTTCCACCCTTTCCCTGCACACTGTCTCATTCTACATGTATTAAAAATTGGTATGTTACTGTAATATTAATTATGCACGAACCTACATGTAGAGTTGTTGTAAGATGGGTCCTTATATCTACTTAGCCTACAGATGCTAGGTCGTTTCGGGAAAAAGGACAGGTAAGGTTAAATTTAATATGAATAATTCGCTTGCGGGTATGGGTATTTAGCAAAAGGAGGAAACAAAAGGACCCAGAGATTAGAGAAGGTATGCTTCAATTTAATATGAATAATTCGCTTGGCGTAGGGATACATGTATTTAGAAAACAGAGGAAACCGAATGACCCAGCGAAAAAACTCAAGAGATTGGACAGGCGACTCTACTCCTTGAAATTGAAACCATGCCACTTAACACAATGACAGACCCTGTGATTTCATGCGCATGCATTACCTACTAGACCATTCCCCCCAGCCCCACCCCATATCGAATAAAAGTATGACTTATTTCAAATATGATATTTACATATAAAGAAAGTAGAGAGACTTCAATCTTACTAGAAAAATACTAGATTACCTGAAATGAAATGGGGTTTAAAGACAACGTCCTACTGGTCAGCTCCGACTGGTCTAATGCATTGTGCTAAGTGAAAATGTTTGTCTGGGCAGCAACACTATGGCCTACTCTCATACCGAATTCAAACTGCCAAGAGAACTTTTATGTGTACGCCAATGTGTACATTGGATCTCAGGGGAAACCACTCTGCAAAATCAAGATGAGCTTTCTCGGTCAACCCCAAGAGATAACCTGTGGCCTCCATGCTAGTGTGCCAGCACCTAATTCACTCAGTCACCGTGGCCGTCTTCTAATTACTGTGACAGTGAAACCATGTGACAAACAAGGATTATTAATATAGACTTTTACGGCTTAGGTAGTTCCTTGGGATTAAAACTTTTGATATATATAGATACATTAGTTTCAAGTTCATATCACACAGTTTGTATATATGGTAAGGTAGCTTTAATCGTAAATTACATATCATGTATTTATTTTTTCAGTTTCAATATTGGATGTATATGCAAATCACCCAGAAAAAGATCATGTAATAACAAAAGAAATTATAAAAGAAAAAAATGGAAGAAGAAATGGCTGGAAAAAATGATGATAGAGCAGCTTTTTCTTGGTGGGTAACTATTCAATTCTAATAGAAAAGATTGTTATGCTATTTTGAAATCTAAAATTCAGTTTAGTATAGTAAAACTGTACGCGTCATGTATGAACAGAGACAGAATCTTAGTTATATGTAGATATCACTGTCTCATCTGTGGCAAAGCAAACCAACACATGAAACAAAACAAATGTAATTAACATTTTTTTAATTATTCAAAACTGTCTAGTCAATTTAAGCCAACTAATACATTGCCATTTTTTTATTCAGGTACCCACCTTGGAAGATCAAGTTGGAAAGGGCTATTGATATTGTGGAGACGTTTTCTCACAGAGCTTGCTTATCAGACAAAGACTATGTAAGTACCATGCATATTTTCTTTTTAAATCAGGAACTGGTTCTATACACTTGGTGGGGGGGTTGGATGGTCGAATGGTTAGCACGTGCATGCTGTATCATACGGCCTGTCATTGAGTCAACTGGCGTGGTTTCGAATCCCCGGTTGTATGTGACAAGGATTCAGGTCGCCTGTTCAACCTCGTGGGTTTTCTCCAGGTCCTCCGGTTTCCTCCCACTGCTAAAGACCCCTACGTGCAAGCGAATTAATGAAATAAAATTAAACCATATGTTAGTCCCGAAATGACCTAGTTTGTGTCGAGTGGACGTTGAACCCCATTTCTCTCTCTCTATATATATACACTTGGTATTCTAGGTCTTCTTTTTGTGGCATAGTCTAGGGCTATGCCATTTGAAATACGATCAACATGAAAGTCAGCAGGCTTGTTTGGTTGATTTTCTTACAGTTTTGATATATTACTTCAAAACTATAAGATGGATGCAATGTTACACCCTTTCATAACCATTATTATAAAGCGTTCAAATGCATGAATTTGTAAAATATAATTAATATCTTTTTGTAATAATGTTTGCAATACTGTATTCACAATTGCCTTAGTGGAGGTAATTGGTAAATCAAATGATTATTTTTTCATTATTGTCTTTTTTTCAAGACTTTTGTTCTGGCTTCTGACCCATTGGGGCATAATAATCTACCTGGGTCTGTAACTTGAAAAGGCACAATAAGTATTATGCAAAGTTGAAACTCAACGTGTGGAAAAATAAGTTGTTTATTTAAACATTCTGAACCGTAGAAAGTATATTTATTGCCAACTCAAACATATACCTTCAGTCCTTCACGTTTAAGGGGAGCTTTAGCTCCTGCTCCTCTCGACGCACGTCGGCTTTCCTTGGAAGGAGTCATTAAAGACTCCTGCAAATTAGCTAAATCGCTCTCCTAAATATTGAGATTTTTGTTTACTTTTAAACTGCATATATTCAAGGTATCAGGAGCTTTTTATGGCTCCCGTACAATTTTATAAACATGAAGGACTGTACCTTTTGAATATTAAGCCATCAAATTATTTTATAATTTTGAAAATGAAATGAAATGGGGTTTAACATCCTACTGTTTTGCTCATAAATTGGGCTAATGAAGACGGGCATACGCCATACAGTGTGCTATGAAGGGAATTTTGCCCGGGCAGCGGCGCTACAGGATACTCTTATATCGAATTCCAATTGCCAAGGGAACTTTTACGTGCACGCCAATGTGTACATGCGACCTCGGTTTTCCGTCCCATCCGAACGACTAGACAGCTGTCCTTGTCAGGTCTTCCGTCCTGTATCACTGACAAGGGGAAAACACGCCGGAAAATCTGGATGAACTTTCTCAACCAATGCAGGGATTGAACACCCGACCTCCAGGCTAGCGAGCCAGCGTCGTACCCACGTGATCTCCTTATAATTTAAAAAAAAAATGCAGTGATTGTAAAAGCTATCTGTTGCATTTGGCCTGTTATTTAAATATTTTATTTTTGTTTTTAATGTTAAATATCCCTCTCAAACACAATTATATTTTAATTCTCTCCAGAAATTTGTGTAAAATATAGAGTGTAAATTAAAACTTTCATCTTTTAACTGTTGAGTCAATTTAAGTGATCTAATACATAGTATGTTTTTTTTCTCAGTTAACTACATCAGAAAGATAAAGACAGTTGGAATGGCTATTCATATTGTGGAAACTTTTCTCACGGAGCTCGATAATCAGGCAAAATGTAAGTAACATATATATTTGTATTTTTAATCAGGAAGTACTTCTATACACTTGCTTGGTAATCTAGTTATTCTTCTTGGGGCAATGCCTAGGACTCTGCTGTTTCAAGTACTTGGCATGCTTGATTTTTGCCAATCACATCCATTGATTTCCTTCAAGTTGCGATAGGCCCTACATGTATGTGTATTTTTACAGTAAATAGCAGTAAAATAATGATGGACAGTATTTTACTTTCAAATAGATTTCAATAGATTTTAAAGGGTAATATCCAATTTGTTGTCAAAAATTTGTTGTCAATGGAAATAAAATAAGAATGGGTCCAAAAATAATTAGACATTGCCAAGTAAATAGGTGCTGCCATGATGTAGTAGGGAATCTGGATTTGCAGACAATACATGTATGAAAGGGTGAATAGTTGACCTATTATGAGACTTCAGTCCCAAATCTCAAGACTTTTTTCTGACTTCTAAGTCATTTGATTTGAGCATAATAATCTGCCTGGGTCTGTAACTGGACAAGACACAATAAGCGTTAAGCAAAGTTGAAACCAAATAGAGACTCGGTCTCGATGTGGCAAAATAAATTGTTTATTTAAATGTTGTGAACCATAGAAAGTATTCTTATTGCCTACTTTTTATTTTTACACTGGAACACCATTGAAAGAGTATTTGGTGTATGATAACAACAAGAAAACCCAAGCATAAATTTATTTTATACTTCTGGGAAAGAATGCATTTGACCCAATTTTTAAATATTTATTTTTTGTTATTAATGTTAAATTTTCTTCCAAAACACAATTAGATTTTAATTCTCTTCAGAAATGTATGTATAATATAGCAAGTAAAGTGACATATAAATCACTTAGAATTTGATCAGAAATCATAAAGTATTTAATAGGCATTACTAGAAACCAAATGTAGATCAAATACACCCAGAATTACAAAAAACCTTGACCTACATAAAGGTGACTTTCCCTTGCTTATGAAATGAAATACGGTTTAGTATCCTACTTTTCTGTGTTCTTAGAGTGATTCTGCCCTACACCCTACTCTTATATCAAATATTTCAACTGTCAAGGGTTCTTTAACGTGAACCCGCGGGGGGGGGGGGCAATGATTAACACGCACACATTTGATCAGGAAGTCTGTCATTGAGTCAAATAATTCAATTGTCAAGGGTTCTTCTAAGTGAATGCAGTGGGGGTGGTTTCGATTCCGGGAATGGGGGAGGGGGTGGTGGATGGCCGAATGGTAAGCACGTGCATGCGGTATCATACGGCCTGTCATTGAGTCAACTGGCGTGGTTTCGAATCCCCGGTTGTACGTGACAAGGAGTAGGGTCGCCTGTCCAATCTTGTGGGTTTTCTCCGGGACCTCCGGTTTATTGAAACGTTTGGGCTCAGTCGTGGTCTTCGGAATCGCCTGCTCAGCTACATCCTGAAGAATTGAAGTGAATAAGGCCATGGGTTCATCTGCGTCTTCTAACTCTTTTGCATCAAAAGAGAAGAGACATAAAGATTCAAAAAGAGCCCAATCAGCCTTATGTAACTTCCACCTCTGCGGTCTTTCAACCGGAGAGGGACCATTATTATCTATCAAGATGGGAAAATGGTCACTACCACAGAGATCTTCATTTACCCTCCATGTAAAATCCTGAAACAGGACCTGAGAGCAAATGGTTAGATCAAGAGAAGAAAAAGAAGCTGTGGCAGGATGTAGATAAGTAGGCGAGTCATCATTTAATAAACACAAATTATTAATGTTAATGAAGTCCGCTATTTGTTTACCTCTGTTATTATCTTCTGGACTACCCCAGAGTGGATGAGACGAAAAACCGAGGTCCCGTGTATACATTGGAATGCACGTAAAAGATCCCTTGGCAGTTGGAATTCGATATAAGAGTAGGCGATAGTGCCGCTGCCCGGGCAAAATTTCCCTAATAGCACACTGTATGGCGTATGCCCGTCTTCATTAGCCCAGTATAGGAGCAGAACAGTAGGACGTTAAACCCCATTTCATTTCATTTCATTTCTACCCCAGAGTGAATGATGACCATTGAAATCTCCCGTAATTATAAACGGAAGGGGAAGTTGTGCAGCAAAGTCATCAAAATCTCTGGGGTTCAGATGTAAACTAGGTGGTAATTATACAGAGCAGAGTGTGATAGGAATATGTAGAGTCACCCTCACTGCAACTGCCTGTAAAGGGAAACACCACCGTGTGCTCTACAATCATCGTTTGGAAAATGATGGTAGGCAACAAAATGTCTGAGTGTCAAGACATCTGTATTCTTTAAAAATGTTTCTTGTAAAGAAATAGCTAAGGGATTAAATTTTTGAAATAAGATTTGAACTTCATTAAAATTTGGTTTAAGACCACGACAATTCCATTGAATAATGGAATTTGCCATTTTCAGGGAGGTTTAACAGGACTTCTATGATGTTGTTTGGGGTCATGTACTTCAACAATAACATCCATAAGATTGTCCTGTATCCCGAACCTGTTATAGGTTCCGACAGGATCCTCGTCACCCTTCCTACTACGGAAGGTATTTAATTTTCGAGGAACGTCTTTATCAAGAACGTTCCTTGTTTTTGTTGTTTTTTTAGTGGATTTCCACCAATTGGCTGAGGAGTGGGGGGCACAATCTCCTCTTATCACAGCCTGCCCGGACTTACTAACAGCCTGGGAGCTGGGAATATTAATGCTAGGTTTAGGTGGAACCGGAGGTTTCTGTTCCGACGAGGAATCCTCTGTCTCAGCTGGAAATTCAGCAGGCGTTTGGCAAGCAATAGAAGCGGTTTTCGGCTTGACTGCATTTGCAAAAGACATTGCAAATGTTGGGGTTGCAGCCTCAACCAGCTTCCTTGCTTCCGGGTATGGTATATTTTTTTTCTGTTTTCACCTGCTGAACTTGTTTTTCTTTCTTCCATATTGGGCACTCTCTAGAATAAGCAGAATGGGGCCCTTTGCAGTTAATGCAGTGGTGGTCGAGCTGACAAGATGTACTTTCGTGACCATCTTGTCCACATCGAGCACACACCACTTTCCCCTTACACACGTTTTTACTGTGTCCAAAGCGTTGACAATGAAAACAACGCAATGGATTTGGGATGTAAGGGGTAACTGGTATGGCAAGAAAACCAGCTTTGACCATCCTAGGAAGATCTGGTTTATCAAAGGTCAGGATATAGGTGTTGGTTTGTATAATATTACCATTACGTCTGATGGAAATACGTTTGACGTAGGTAACACCTTGTGAGGCTAGATTTTCAAGCATCTCTTCCTCACAGTTGCCTTCTAAATCCTGAGACCGAATAACACCTCTTGAAGAATTAAGAGAGTTATGCGGCGCAACTTTGATTGGAATGTTGGCTAAAGTTTTTGATTTTAATAATGAAGTAGCATGTGATTCTTTAGCACATTCCACTAACAGAGTCCCGTTTCTCATTTTTTTGACGCTTTTGGGCTCACCAGCTATGTCAGCAAGAAATTTAGCAATCAAAAAAGGAGAGGTTAAAGCTAAGTTGATATCATTTGTACTCTGTATAACCAGAAATCTAGGCCAGGTTCGGGAAGTTTTGTTTGGTATATTATTTGGTTCCAATTCCTCGGTCGACGTACGTTTTAATGAACGAGTCTTCTTCGATTGGGAAGCTATGAGTATAATTTTAAAGATTCATCCCTGCCTGCTCTCCATCCACCAATGGTTTACAATATCCATGCAGGCTACTGCGCGGATATCCAGCGCATACGCCCTACGAGGACAGACAGGGATATACCTAGACAAAGTAAAGATTTAATATTTTTACTTTATCCAGTTGACCCAAGCCGCTGCTTTAGAGTAGGCACTTAGGACACAAAGGTAGAGCTGCAATAAATACAATACAGACTTATGGGAAAGATGCGCCTACTCGTCAGCTAAATACGACCAAAGCCGATTGATCAGAGTGGGCCACTCTAACCTCCCGTCTAGGTGAATTGTGGGCCGAAGCAATGTGTTGCAGAAATAGGGCTCGCAAGCCAAATCCTCACTCAATTACCAGGATTCCACTCTCCACCGACACGGGTCGCAAGGCACGGCAAACACGTTGCCCCATTACAGGGATCCTTTTAGTCGCCTTTTACGACACGCAGGACATACGAAGGGTATATTCTTATCACCCCCTACACCCCAGGGGGGAAAAGATATGTAGAGTTGGGTGTCATCAGCATATAAATGAAAAGATAAACCATGTTTTCTAACAATATTCCCAAGCGGTTTAGTATATAGGCTGAAAAGAATGGGACCAAGGACGGAGCTTGGGGTACCCTAGATGTCAAGGTCCGAGGAGCAGAAGACATACCATTCACAACAACACGTTGTGACCTTCCTTTGGTATATGATTCCAAAAGCTTTAGTGCTTTAATTGTAAAGGATGATATTTTATATAAGAAATACTTACCCGATTGTCCAGATCCTGTTCTACAAATTGTGTTACCCATTTCACTTCATTTTCTTGTTTTATCACTACTTCATGACAAGATGGGTCACATGGGTCGTGATCGCACATTGGACTTGGTCAAATCACGCTTCTTCTGGCCTTCATTGTCGAAGTATGTAGAGAAGTATGTCTGATCCTGCGACAGATGTATTCGCCAAAAGTCTCCTCAGCAAAATATTAGAGCGCCTTTAGTTAGTATTCAAACTTCGGAACCATTACAGCTTGTTTGTACAGATTGTTTGAGTTTAGAGCCTTCTAAGGGTGGTATTGAAAACATTTTAATTATTACTGACCACTTCACAAAATTTTCTGTTGCTGTTCCAACTAAAAACCAGACTGCTAAAACCACCACCAGAGCATTAGTTCATAATTTCTTTCTACCATATGGAATTCCTGCAAAACTTCATTTTGATCAAGGTCGAAATTTTGTGTCCAATATTATCAAAGAAGTCTGCAGTATTTTAGGTATACACAAATCACGTACTACTCCATATCATCCAATGGGAAACGGTTTATGTGAACGCTTCAACAGAACACTTTTAAATATGCTAGGTACTCTTACTGAAGAACAGAAAGGTAGATGGAAAGATCATGTTCCTTATTTAGCTTTTATTTATAATTCCACTAGACATGAATCAACTTCTTTTTCACCTTTTTATTTGATGTTTGGTAGAAATCCTAAGTTACCTGTTGACATAATTTTTGGAGATACTTCTGCTACGGATGTACGTAGTTCTTATACACAGTTTGCTTCTGAACTTCAAGATAAATTTAAAGCCGTGAACAGTATTGCCACAGAAAATATTCAGAAAGCGCAGCAGAAGCAGAAACTTTATTATGATGTGAAAACCCGAGGTGCTAATCTACATGTTGGTGATGTTGTGTTAGTTCGTAATGTACAGATCAAAGGTAAAAATAAACTTGCAGATAAATCGGAGAGTGATTGTTATACAGTTATTTCACAACCAGATGTTAAAATT